GCCCGTCGTGGTAATCTATCACGAAGGGCTCGTGCGAGCAGGTGTCATGGCAGTCTGCCGCTAATGATCCTGGACATCCAACGTGGAATTAATCATTGCCTTTGTCTCTCGGCTGGTTTTTGCCGCGCCGTGCGCGACTCTTCTCTTCCCTCGCTTCGGTCATTATCGTCGTTAATTCCTCGATCGTCGAGTATCCACCGATTTCCTCAAACACCGGCTTGCGCGCCGAAACGAGAAAACGATTTGCTACCGGCCGTTGCTTTTTATCGCTCGCCGAACGGGCGATTACTGACGCGATGCGCCGTGTCGGAAAGACGTAGGTGAAAAGTTGAAATTGAATAGCGAGCGCATTAGCGTCGATCGAGTAACGAGTATGAAATCTGCCCGGTATCGTGACCGATTAACTCGAAACTGTTGAAGAAACAGGGAAGACGGTAGGGACGATTTCCCTGCAGCGTGGGTCCAACGCGCATAAAACCGGAATTCTATCCATTTCATCGGACAGCTGTCGTTCCGTCCGGAGTCGGACGGATCCAAAGACGCCGACTCGGCGACGATCCTCTTCTTTCTTCTGATTCTTTATCCGCTCGTCGATCCGAGATCCGCCGATGACATTCGCGTATTCCTCGTGTTCCTTTAAGGTCACGAAGATAACGGAGGATACGCTTACTACTGGACGCGCGCGCGGCCGAAGCGAACGAGCTAACAGGTATTCTCGCGATAATGATTGCCGCCGAGTCGCTGGCGAGAGGCTCACGGTGCCGTAAATCCTGTGACCTCTCTCTTTACGTCGCTCATTGAAAATTAAACTCGAATTCTTTGCCGTTTATGCGTCGGCAAATCGCAGACATTATCTTAATCGTCGGCTAATCGAAATCTCAGTCGCGGCGACGCGGAAGGGGATCGATCGATGGAATTTTTCCAAAAGAAGCTGATTGCCTATAGAAGTTTTACCTTTGGGAATCGATAATAGCTTCGACGCGGTGGCAAGGATTCTCCCGGTAAATTATTTCTTTCGGATTTGTGTCGCGCGAGGCGTAAGGTTTAAGCCAGTTTCTGGGAAACCGTACGTAACGACTCGACGTCTTTTACCTCGATGCCTGTCCAGAGAAGAGTGATTTGATCTGACCGCGACGAAAAATTAGACGTACGGATAAAGAATAATACGATCGTGTTCAGGAATTTCTCATCTTCCGGAGTTACGCAGCCGTATAGAAAAAAGAGTGAGAGAAAGAAAAGGGAGAGAGAGAGCTCGCGCCCTGAGAATTCGTCCAGCGCGAGGAAAGGAAGAAAGGCGCGTCGGGCACCCCGCAGATCCTGATGGAACAGAACCGTGGAGAGGAAGAGAGGGTGATAGAGGTGGAGCGAACGAGGTGGCAGCCAGACAGGATCCGCGTGGAAACGCAAACAGCGTCGGTCTCTAATACACCGGGGACTTTATCAAAATCTGATAACTCTCTCTCTCTTCGGAAGTGAAGGCAACACGGGCGGCGAAAGAGGAGAGAGAGGGCGAAACACGCTCGAGCTAAGCCACCCCCGAAAAGCCGGCTACGCGTGGAACGTCGTCGTCGTCGGTTATCCCCCTCTTCACTCCGCCCCGACGCGTCCCTACGGATCGAAAAGCCTCGCCGCCACTCCTGCGAGCTAACGTCTCCTTCGATGTAACCTGTACACCGTGCTAGGAAATTTGCGTTCGAGGGGCGCGTTTATACGTTCGTAGAACGGAATTCCTCGGCAGCGGCGATATTCTTGAAAATAGGAAGACTCTTTCGTCGACTCGATAGATATACATATACGAGGAAAAGGAGGATTCTCTTTGGAACGTCCGCGACGACGCGTTCATTCTTTTCACGCTTCTACATAGCTGTTCTCCACACGGTTTTATCTCGGGAATTATGCGACCGGAATACGCGTAACCCGCGGTACCGCGACGAAATTGCGATCTGCGAGTTCTCGCAACGTGGCGCGATGTAGAACGTGACCGATTGCGCTCGTATAGTTACGAGTAGGTACCTACCAACGGCAGGCGGAACGTACGTGTCCCAGCTCCGTCCTCGTAATATATAACTCGTACCTACATAGTCGTCTCTCGCGCAGACCCGCGCGTCTACACACAGATACACGAGATGACGGGATACACGGACGTACATGCGAGTACGGAGATTGCTCCGGGGCTTTCGGGGTTGAGCATATTGAATAACTCGCTCGCTGGACCGCGAAAATATACCGCGAGCCTGGCAGTATGCGGATCGACGTTTCTGAAAGGACCTTCCAGGATCCTCGGGGCGGGCACTGTATCCTGTCTACGGTGTGTACCTGACCCAACCCCGACGACGACGACTATAACAGCCAGCCAGCGCTGAAAGAGACTCGGCGGTCGCGTATTACCCAGTGCGGGGAGTTGCAAATGCATCACGAAGAGAATTTCGCGTTGCAACCACCAACCATGGCATAGACGGAAACGAGAATCCGTTCCTGCCAGCATGCGACGAGACCGTCTTTTCGTTTCATCCCTCTCTATATCGTCGAACGAGCGTGTTCCCGGTAGTAGTAATCGCATTTTGCCTCTTTCTCGATCCCGGAAACTAACTTCGCGATCGACGGTACGTGTGCCCTTGCGGTGTTTCGGTACCGAAGTGCCGAGCGCGTTCTCATTGCTGTAGAGTGTTCGATATCGGTGAAAGCAGGTTGGGAATAATTAAAAAAGAATGAAAATGGACAACGATGACGTCGGACACTCGAGTTCAGTACGCGAATCGATGCTTTCGCGAGAACCAGTCGGTGCTTTCGAGCTCGCGTCGGGGGCAGGATGAACGCAAGGGAAGAGTAGACGGGGGAGATGGAGGATTCTCCGTTCGGGGATTCGCAGGATTACGTGCAGGAAAATGTGGCTCGAGGCCAGAAACGGAATGTCGTTACGCCGCGGCGGAGTCCGACGATAGATACGGGCACGGCCATTGTTGGATAACCTGACTAGAATACACTGGGATACGGGAAAAGTAAAGAGAATTGGTCATTCGAGCACCTCTAGAATTTCTTTGCAAATCCGTAACGAGTCCGAGAGATTTCTTTCTACTCTTTCGATCTTCCGTCGACGTCTTTGACGCGCCGTTCGTACGGAAATAAAATAAAACGGTTCGAAGCGGTTAGAAAATTTGCAACCCATAATTTCAGCTAATAAGAATCACTGAGATGCGACGCGACGTCTGACCAGCAATTACTTTCCCTACTGCGAACAGGAAAATACGCGCTGCTCGACCGCTGCTCGCCCGACCGAAATCGTTCTTACCGAACAAGGAAATAAAAGAAGCGACCGAATCGAAACGTTTCATTCGAATGCAAATTCTGAAATTACTACGATTCGTTCGAAGCCGAGAGAAGAATCCGTACAAAGAGTAAAGACGTCGCGTAGCACGGTCGTGAAACGTGTAATCTTTTCCTCGTTGCACACGGCCTCGCCGAGATCAATTAGACCGGTATAGTCGGACGATCCTCGTCCGTTAACGATATATCAATTACAGCATAGACGTAGATGATGACTATTAATGACTTCATTCAGGACAGAGTAATTACAGATGTCCCGGCGAGCGCGACGGCGAATCTGGGTCGTTCGCAACGATTTTAGACCGGCGAACTTACTGACTTTCCAAATGAAAAAGAGGAATCCGCGATTCGATTTACCGTAAAACGATCCGTTAGTTCGAAACGAGTTTTCGTCCAAGCATGGACGTATCTAGCAAAAAATTGGAAAAATAGTCGTCCCTAACGATGCCTCAGGTATTATATGATCGAAATATGGCCGTGCGACGAGGAAACTCCACACACACCAAAACATAAAGTCATAAATCCGAGGCTGCCGGGTACGTCGGTAAAATCGGCTGGGTTTTCCCGGGGCTCATAAATCAAAGTGAAATTCGGGTCTTATTTCGGAGTCCTGCAAAATTCGTTGTTTGACGTCGTCAGCTCAGGCCATGGGGAAAACCCATCTTCTCTTTCTACCAGTCGTAAGGATGCCAGCAGTACTCGCCCGCGACAAATAGCTCGACAATACAGCCACCAGGCGTTACCTGAGATACGAGATTCGAAACGACAGGTGGTGCAGCCACGTTTACCAGGATCGACGGCCCTTTAATGACGATCGGCCGTGACCAATCGTGGAGGACTGGATTATCACCTCTTTTTTAAATCGTTCGAAGACGCAACCCGTTAGACGGACTAGCAGTAGAATGGTTTTCTTTTATGAATATGACGAGAATAATTTTTTATTAATTCCGAACGCGTAATTAGATTTTGGCCCGACATACAAGTAAACAACTTTCGCTCACTGCTTCCTGTTTACGCGGTGTTCATACGATGTCGGAAACCTAGTGAGTCAAATGTAATTATTCTATACCCGCGACAGTGTTTCGATCTAGTCGAATATTTGAAGCTGAAGCATTGCTCGTTGAAATGATTTGTCCAAGGATAGAGGTATGCGAAGAATCGCCGTCGAGAGTTCGTTTGAAACAGAGTGGAGGTACGAAATTGACTGGGCCGTAGTCGATTCGGGCATGATTCGACGCATCGCGGAACGATAGGAGAGCAAAGCATCGACGAAACGCAATTTGAAAGACGTAATTCGAAAATCGTTGTACGCCCGACGGCAGCGACCCTCCGTCGGACGTCAAAATGAAATTACGCGACCCTCCGCGCGCGGGGACCTTGGGGCAGGCACAAAGGCTCGTTTGTCGAGGATACGACACAACAATCTGACTAAAGGGACCTAAACCACTAATCGTTTCGCGATTAACTTCCATTAAACGCTACTTAACGAACAAAACTTTCGTGTCCTCTCACGGCTAATCGCGATCGTTTACAAAAATCAGCGAACGCACAGTTCATCGACACTTCTTCTCTTCACTTTCCACGAAATACGACGTTCGACACTCGGAGCGTTTCGCTCCGATTCGCGGTCGACGATCTAATTCTAATTACGAATAAATGATAGTGTGACGTAGTACCTGTTCTTTGCTGCAGCCGCTCGATCCCTCTGTCTTCTGTTCTTGAACCAATTTCCAACTTGAGTAGGCGTGAGTCCTGTGGCAGCGGCCAATTCCCTTTTCTTCCCCGGATTCGGGTACGGATCTTGAAGATACCACTCTCTCAACAACGATCGGGTTCGCTCTTTGAAACAATGAGTCTTCTGCTCGCCGTCCCAGATAGTCCTCGGCAACGGGAATTTCTTCCTCACTCTGTACTTGTCGACGGGTCCAAGCGGTCTTCCGCGAAGCTTTTCCGCTTCCTGATAGTGTGCTTCGAGCCACATCGCTTGCAGTTTACCGTGAGAGTCCTTGGTGAACTTATGCCTCTCCAGAATCGCGTACAATTCCCTGTAGTGTCCCGAGTGGAAAGCGACGATCGCTCTAGCTCTGAGAACTGCCTCGCTTTGATTCAACTCTTGAATGTTCGGATGCGCTACCGGCAGGCTCCAGAGGAACCTTGCCAGTCTCTCGATGTCTCCGCTCTCCTCCAGGGTCTCGCAAACGGTGGCCACCTGACCGACGGTGAACGACAGAGTTGGTAACGCGAAAACCGGAGCAGGTACGATGGGCCCACTCGCGGTGGGCGCCCCGGCGCCTGTTCCTGCTGGCACTACGGCTGACATTTCTCTTCGATCGTCTCGATCCTGGTGGATTCCCCGGGATCGATCGATCCGTTTACCTCCGTGGTTTCTCTGCTCCGCGGCTGGTATCCGACCGCTGCTTCAAAGCATCGATGTCACCCTTGATATGCGTCGGACTCAGGAAACTCTCCGACTCGGTTTGTGTTTGCTCCTCGCGCTTCTTCTCATCGCCGTGTCGTTCGTCGGACTCGACAGTTCGTCATCACAGCACCTCGTCCTCTTGTCGGTCGGAACTCACTCCGCGAACGTCTCACCGTTTCGATCGTCACCAAATTTTCAATGAAGCACCTCCTTACAGCTTTTCAATACGAAGCAGTGTCAAATACGCGCGACGTCTCTCCGAACCCGTAACGATGTCGCGCGATGTAAGGGCAGTCGTTGACTGTCGATGCTCGACTGAATCTTACCCCGTAGCGCTACCGTCGGTCGCTCAACCCCTGCTACGACCACGTTCGCCAGGTAGAGATATCCTCAGGGTTTCGCGACGAACGAAAACACACGCCGACGTTCTTCTCGGGCCGCGAGGATATCACGCGAGGCCGCTGTTGCCTGGATCGTATCGGATAGCAAACTGGTTTCGTTTACAACCCGGCATCTCGGCACCGGCCCTACCCAGCATGATACGTTTGTACGCCCGTTGCAACCTGGTAGTAGTCCCGCCGACTCTTGCGACCTACCTCTACTACCGCTTCGTCCTCTCCCTCTCTTTCCCTCTCTCTCTCTCCTCGTCGCACCCGAGTGCACCCTCGCGGTCTCGTCCTTTCACCCAGCCCACGATTTTCAGGGGGTACAGTTGGTGGGAAAGAGACGGCGCCGCAACGCTTGGGTGCCAATGGAAAGACCACGCCTCCCAGCTATGTCGGGATTGGCCGGATCCCATCCACGTAGCCATGGTAACCTTTCTTCGTCCTTCCGTACACCAGTATCCGTGTACGCGTTTGTGTCCGTTTAATTATCCCTTCCAAGCCGACAGCCAGCACCACCGATTTCATCCCACCCTTCGCTCGATCCGCTCCCACCGCCGCCACCGCGGACTTCGATCCCCCCGTCTTTTCGCCGTCTCGCTCGTACGCGCACCATACGCCGAACGCTCGTCAGCCCGCGAGAACCCATGGACAGAGAGAGAACGATCGATGGTTCATCTCGAATGGAAAACGGGATGGAGATCCATAAGAGCGGGGAAGCAAGGCCGCACGAACGGGGAACCGAGCACGATCCCCGCGACTTCGAATGCTGCCGTTCTCTCTGCCTTCCTTCCGTAGCTCCTGCCGCCGTGATCTCTCGGCCAGACTCGTTCCTCGCGCACCCACGGATTCAGCTCCATCAGCTTTCCGACTCCGTTTCGTCGCCTTCCGTTCCCTCGCGCCATTCCGCTGCGTTCTCCGGTTTTTACACGCAACACCGTCGATCCGTAGACAGCTCGCGGTTCTTCTCGTTCGAGCTGCACTTCGTATCGAGATACGGAGTGTCCGTACTTATGACAATGCTAAATCGCCTTTACTCCCCTTTCATGATACGGATAGGAGTCGTCTATCGACTAGATTTCATTTCTCGCCGAGGGCGACAGGTGCACGCGTGTCGAGGAACGGAGGACGCGCGACGGCGCCGAAGGCGTCTCCGTTTTATCGAACGCACAGTCGCCGCAGGAGCCACGGTCTCCTCTCCTCGATAAATATTCTGATTTGTAACACTGACGTATCCAGGCCGTCGCGTCGCGTCGCGGTCTTGTCGGCAGCCTCGCGCCTACCAATATTAGTCGTCAGCCTTTTTCGCCAACATTTTCCACTCCGTTTCCAGCCTGGTTATCCTCCGTGCGACTTCCGACTAGATTCACGAATAAATCGCGAAGAGAACCGTCGACGACGTTCCGTTGAGCTCGAACATTGTTTCGATAACGAGACCCGAAGTATTTAGATCCGCGATGAACTTCTCGGGGGGAGACGCAACGACGTCTCGACTATGCCACCGTTCGCCCTCGTTCCGCTGCGTCGATTGGCCGTAGTTACATAAATCGAATTAGCGGGAGCGAATTTCCCGCGAGGCACCTCGTTTTTTCCGCACGGATTTTTGTCGACGCGATACGCTATCCATTCGGCTGCGTCACGTCGATTCGTGTCGAACGATCGTTGGATAGCCGAGCGCGATGCAAACGGCGGTGTGCGAACCGGGTGTCATTCCAAATTTTCGATATTTAAATTGACGCAAAATTGCTCAGTGTAATCTTCAGTAAAAAGGAATATCGGAAAAGATGTTTGGTCAACTTAGTCCTTCGCTGTAATTACGATGTGTGAACAAAGCGCGTTTTTTATCCTTACATTCGACATACTTGCTTAGATACCTGTATAGGTACGACGGACAATACAAAATATATTGCAGCTAATTTATGGCGAAGCCGGATTGTCATAGACAATAGTAAGATGTGGCATTTCTGTCTAATCCGAAACACATGTTTCGTCCTTAGGGTAGGAGAAGGTAAGCGTGGGTTTTCCCCACAATTTTTGGGTTGGGAAATTCCCAAGGGTAGTAGGTATAGGCATTACCTGTCGACTGTAGCAACGGTATAGTAGACGAACTTATGTACAACGGAAGAGGTTCAATAAATGCGCTCTACCTAACAATCTCTGTCATGACCAATGAGGAGTGTTAAAATCGAAAAGCTAATAAACTTTTACAGGTTCCAATCGTCCTGGCATTATTTTTAGGCGAACACTATCTACGGGAACCAGAGTTTTAACATTTTTCTCATTGTCTTCACCGTTTAAGCTTTCGTTCGTTTACCGTTTATTTTACACGCAGTTCTTTTAATTCCAATTAAATTCAGTTAATCGTTCTCTCGTCTTACAATTAAATGATGTATCGATTAACGTGTGTAAATTGTTCATTAGCGTAGTTTCACTGAATTGTCTATTGATGAACCTTTCACGGTTGGACAGACCGTGCACCTATTATGCCTCGGATCGCTGTAGCGATCGACGGTTAGATGATAGTTTTTATTAATAACGGGGTTACCGAAGTTTCCGGGAAATCGTTCGCAATTTCGATCGACGGTCGAGATTACCCAGCTCGCGTTATGTCTCTGGCCGAGTTTGAAGCGGGCGCAGCAGATTCTTCGTTGGCCTTAACCGTCTTTAATCCGCGTGAATGGCGAGCAATTAATCGCCGCGTGTAACGGATAAATTCCTCTGATTGCGCCCGTGCATCAGTGCGAATGAACACGTGGTTGTGTCGTGTAGGTAATAGTAATCTGCGCGCGACGCGTATCGTATAATGCGATAATAGATGCACAATTATTTGCAGATGAACCTTCCAATCGTGCCGGTAAATGTCCGTAATCAACGCACGTGTCGATCCACTATTAAAATTAATCCGTTCTATCAGCTATTCGTTCGTCCATAAAAAATTCTATAAAGAGTAATCCGATCTGTCGGTGCAGACGTTTCTTGAAAGTAAACTGCGAAATAGAGTTGACAGTTTCCAGCGACAGAGTTCAACGCAGTCTCGTTACATCTGTTACGCGGAATTTCATTCTTAATTACTAAGGAACACGGCGGACAAATACATTTAGCGGCGAACGTGTTCGGTCCGAGTGACGAATTACATTGCCGCGGAATATAATAGAATATCAGGAGCGGAATGCCTCGCAGATAAATGTCGCGATAACGACAGGTAGGCCGCGAGCAGCGTTACACAGTTCCATCATTCCACCCTCGATTACACGGATCGATCCATCTATCGAGGCACGATGGTGTGTAGTTTGTTTGCCGACCTTACCCCCTGGACAAATGATTTCATCGCACGACAACCATTCCGTCCGCGTTTTTCCTACATTTCCACTAACACGGTATACCCTTCCGATCGATCTAGATGAAATCGAATTAATCCGCTGCTCGAAACGACCATTTTCATCGTCCCGTAATAATGGAACGTAGAGACGAATTCAAACGATCCGTGAATTTTTTTACTCCACGATACGATGTTATTTATTACGAAGTTTTGTTTGCGATTTAAACCGCAATCTGTCAGAACCGCAAGGGTCTGCGAGTGTCCGGACATTTTTGAGCGATAGCTACGTATCCCACGAAACGTTCCAATTTCCACCTCCGAAATGTTTCATCCTTTCGACCGACGGGTAAATCTCTCGCTCGACGGGCGAGAGAAAGATGAAATATTCGCTTCTGTTATCGGAAGCTCGTGCCGGTCGTAACAAGGCGGCACGCGTACGTACCGCTCCGTCTAGTGCGAAGGCTCTTTCATTGAATTCCATCGGACCGGGGCTATTACTTTCCACGATGAGAACTGTCAGCCCGGACTCGTTACAGAGGGTAGATTAATCACGGTCTAGAAAACAATGAAAGGAAAACGACGGCGCATCGGTTCGATACGTCGTTCCATCCGCGCATAATGAATTACGCACACGTTTCCACGGGCTAGAAAATCGAGCGAGAAAAATTACGTCCGATTGCTCCGGAAATACGAGGACTCGAGGGTGGAAACGATTCGATCAAACCCATTTGGTTCGAACATGATAAAAACGAATTACGTTACGATACGCGATGTAAACCATCGACGTCGTAGAACGACACCGATGGTAAAAACTCGCTGGGATTATTTGGTATTACATCGTCGTATAAAACGTTTTTGTTTGGCGCCGGATTATGAGCCGTGGCCCGTCACTCGTCGAAACGATTCCGTCGATCGAACGAGCGGTGGAAGCCTCCGTCGTACCTAACGCGGGACCGACTTATCACCGTGTTGCTGGTTGCTCGCACGGAGAAAGGGGGAGCGCGAGACATATCGTTGTGGGATAATCCTCTTCTGGTTGCACGGACTATGGGGTGCCCGTTCCTAATATGAAGGCTTTATTATTTAACAGCGTCCTAATGGGGCGTTGCTTGGCCCGGTCCCCGTGTATTATTGTGCAACCTCGCATGCGAGTGCACTTCGGGGCTGCCGGGCTCGAATCAGATTCGGCTCCGTTCGAACCTCTTTTACGAATCATCGGGCGTAAATACGATTAGACGAGAAGAGGTAGAGACCGTTTCTTCCCTTCGCGAAATTTGGTTTACGAACCAGCGCCAGAAGAAACTTCGTTACCTTCTCGTTACAGTTTGGGAATCTAGTAGTCTTCATCGAATTTTGCCTCGTCACTATTTTTGGGAACGTCCTTTATCTCGAGCCGTGCTCCTCTCGGAGTATTCGGAAGCTTAACTCCTGCTTATCGTCGAGCGATCAGCTAACGGAACCGTCCCACGTGACGGTGAGAGCCGGGAGAATTAGAAAAAGTAGTCGGAGAAGTTGAGAAGTCAATTTTTGGGTAGGTCGTCGTCGAGGGTCGCGAGTGGCGCCCGGGATGTTCCTTCTCGCGGCGTGTTTACAGAGGAACCTCGGAAGCCGGGAACGAAATTTGAGGTTCGAGACTCGAGGGGTGTACATGCGTCGACGAAGGGAAACCTGAAGAAGCGGACCCGCGTCTTCCCCGTCTGACGGGACTCATCTGCGCGATGGCGCCACAGCCATTTGTTTGTTTTACTTTTCTGGGCAGGTTGGCTTCTAACCCGGCCCTCCATCGTCTACTAACCGTGGGTTAACGAGGTCGTTAACGAGGCTCCCACTAATTCCGCTATCTTAGCCGGGAAGCTGTGCCGCGCCTTCCTGAACCTCTCAGATATTATCGTACCTGGGCCGGTTGCCGGTCGCACCAGCCTGCCGCGTAACATCGCGTTAGTCTTGTTTCCGTTCGA